CCCCAAAACCCCAAAACCCCAAAACCCCAAAACCCCATATTCCACAATAGATGGCATTCTTGAATGGAATAAAGATATAAATAAATATCGAACTGAATTTGAAATATTTCCCTTAATTATAATATCTTAATGTATACTTCTCATGGCTTGGTATCGATGACATGACCGTTTTCTTCCTTATCAACTCCAATTAGGTGAAACATTGAGATAAAGATGAGTAAAAGGACTCCAACTGAGTTGCATAAAAACATTACTTCCCACTCCATTAGTAAATTATTATTGTTAATTTAATTATAATTACTTAAGTTAATTTTAGAGATTTAAGAGATTATTAGTTTCACAATTAAAATTAGTACACTTCTTTAAAATTTGTGAGTTAGTAGCATGAAAATTCGATTATAGTCTCAACTATAGAAAACACCTAGGACAAGTTCATATATGCCAAAGAAGATAAAGAGAGTTCCACCAATAAGATTGAGCCAGGTCTCATTCAAAATTTATTAGAAACAATGTCCAAGAGTCAAAGCGATTGTAATGCAAGTAATATGAGCTAATCCACCTCCTAATATAATGCTTTGGACACCATAGTTTGCTGCAAGAGCAATAGCTGAAATTTAAGATTTATCACCCCATTCTTCACACATAAGAAGGAATAAGAAGAGAGCCCATTAGCTACCTCCACACCAACCCTTCTTCTTCTTTTTCTTTCCATTTTCCTCATCTATATTAGTTTATTATATGATCTATTATACCATCGATCTAATTGTCTGAATTTTCTTTCAATTTCTCCTCTATCTCTTTTCTTTCATCTTTACCCTATATATATATTAATGCAACTTGAAGCATACATCATCACCATCTGCAAATAATCCCTCATAGACCATAAAAATACCAAAACCAAGAAATAGAACTACACATATTATTTCTGTTAAGGTCTTAGATAGCACATAGGGAAAAGCAGCTCCAATTAAAGTAGATAGAGTGTGCATTGATACCATCACCATTGATGCGAATATGAAAACTGATAGATTATTAAGTTTTTGCGAAAAGATTGTCACTAAGATGAAAGTCTACAGAATATAATTGTTAAACACTTATAAGAAATGATATTATTACTCTATCACCAACTTCTGAGAGGAATATCAGTAAGTAGCTCTGGGTAAAGCCAGCGTAGAAATCGTTTTTCTTATTAGAATCTACATCTATCATTATTGATAGAAAAAATTACCTGTTGAATTAGTTTCGTTTTATGGGGATTTCTATTATTCTTAGGGCTTAACCTCTTGAGCAACTTCTGTTTATTCTAAACTTCCTTTTGTAACGAATAGAGCGAAGATAAGAAGTAAAGTGAAGGAAATCTTTGTTAGTTTTATATTTCGCATATATTCGTTAATTTTATTATGTAATAAATTTGTATTCTGCCTGTTTAAATTTGAGCCATTACTCTATCGAATGGGGTTTTGGGGTATAACAGGTTAATTAAAGGATA